AGAAATTAAATTTTGTTAACTGATCTGTCAGTAACATTGGACTTTCAGAATTTCTCAGGTGGAGTTTATAAAGTACAGAATTACACAATAGCTTGCAAAAATTATGTTCTGATGAATTTCCCAGAGGTGTCGTGCAGCAGTAATCTGCACTAATAAATAGTGGACCACATGCCATGAAGAACTATGTCCAAAGCAGAAATACACATGATAAACTAGCAGGTGTTCCTCTGTTGTAGCCTGTGGTCCACTTGTCCTCTAAAGCTTATGTGTACAACCAACAAATAATCTTCTAGATCTGTTTTTGTTTGCTGCATAAGTAGGTAATCATCAGGGCTATTGAGACTGCTGAGTCCTCCCCACTGTTCTGGGATTGATAAGGACACTATTGATAAATCATAGTTTCTCTTTACCAGGTTAGCTTGTTTGATACTAAAATATCTTTTTGTCTGTCAGGAGGTAAAACTGGGCAACACGGGTATTTAATTTTTGATCGACAGATCCAGATTATGCTGGATTTTACCAGCATAATTTGTGCAGAGAAAGTTGTGCTTGCTCTCCTGACAACATTCTGCTTCTCTTCTGTTTCTTGGAAGTTCTAGTGATTCTTTATGTATTTACATAAGGAAAACACCTGAGGTCCCAAGAACAAGAACTATTATACCACTTGGAGTTTTTATTGATACCTCAGTAGTATATTGTTGCCTTCTGAAAAACTCATTCTTTAAGTGCTATTTGTTAGGTATTATAATTGAAATATTGACAAGTATACACACATACAAAGATGGGCTTTTGAAAGGACACACTGTGTCCACATCTTAGCTATTCACAAGATTTCTTTATTGGACTTCTTATGTAAAGGAAGAAGAAATATTTAGAGTCCTTTTCCAAGAAGAGGAATGGGGCTCAGGAGGAGACATAGATTTGTACATTTGAATAGGCAGTAAATGGGCAATGATTTCCTGTGTCATGAGTTAGACCAGCATAGGAAGGAGCTTCTTGATAATGAATAAAGATAAATCTGGGGCTGTGGTATAAAGGACACTTTAAAATTGGGGTTTTTTTTTTAATATTATAGATAGAATTCAGCTAGAGGAGGTGAAATCATTCACAAAGAGACAAGATAATCTAAAGAATAGGCTGTGTAGATTGTAAATCAAGAGCTGAATAAAGGTTTTAGAAGTCTTCAACCTATGAGATTACTTCTGAATTTTAACTTATGATGTTCTTTGAAATGGCATACAGAAAATTTGCAAAATATTAACATAGACCACGTAAGAATTTAGAAGGATTTTAGTACTGATAAATTACAAGCTTAAGTGGCATGCAGATTGTGGAACTGTTCACAAGAATTAAAGGAAATAAAAGGCAGAAAGATTAAGTTGTTTTAGTCACTTCTCCCCTCAGTTGAAGGAGACTTTGACATAAAGATATTGAAGAAATAGTATGAGATTTTAGCCTGAGCACAAAAACATCTGGTGGTTGTCATGTATTAGCAGTGATGTGACATTTTGAGCACTTTCCTATCGAATGAAATCTTACTAAAAAAGTAGACTTTTTGACCAAACTCTTAGGGCAAGTAAGATCTGAGACCCTCTCTTCTCTTTCAAACACTTGCATATGTGTAACAGACAAAAAAAAGTATAGTCATCTCATAGTCCAGAATTGTAATTTAACCTTTTGTTTAGAAAGATAAGAGTTTTCCCTTTCGTGTACACTCATTTCTGGATGTTCTTTTTTCATGCTACTTTGGGATATCCCCTTTGGCTGAGGATGGTAGGTTGGTGGTCTAGAGATGCAAGAATCTTGTCTATCACTCTGCTTAGCTGGAGTAGGAATTCAGTCAATAAAAAGGCATAAATGGGAAAACAGATTATTACATGCCTTTAGGGAAGTGTAAGGTAGAGTGTGAGGAGAACAAATCTGAAAAGGTAGGAAGGCCAAGGCAAATGTAATGGAAGATAACAATGTGGCTTTGATACAAAAATGTTGGTGAGGGGAAAGAGAGATCGGGATTATGTGCAAGTAAGTGTGGCAAAAAAGGGTATGTAGAGCCTAGGGTACGATGCTTGCAATACAGAAGAGGGCTGCATTTTTATTTTTTTTTTAGTCAAGGACCAGATGCAGTTAGACTTCTGCAGGGTCACTGGAAAATGGGATTTCTGCCCTGACCAACAGCCAGAAAAATCAAAAACCTCCACCTTCCCCCCGAGACAGCACCAGTATTATATGCCAAAGCCACATATCTTAACCATCTCGTGTCAGTTTGTTGGAGCTTAGACTGGGCCTTTTGCCACCAACCTAGGTTGAAGAGCAATCTAGACACTCAGCATGAGTATGTGTCAGTAGAAGAAGAGCCTCATTAAAACAGAAAGAAAGGTGACACTGTGGCTTCTAGCCCCCTCTACACTGAGACACATCTATTCTGATTATCACATCTCTTCTACACATCTCTCTTCTACAATAATACATGTAAATTATAGTGAAAAGGATCAAAGGATTTCTGTATGTGATGGGCAGATCAAAGCACAGACTGGTTTTGTTTCTTCCTCAGGCCATATTTGTGTTTGTTTTAGAAGCAAGCACATTCCAAAGATATGAAAGAAATGTCAAAGCACCAGACAGATTAACTGGCTGGAGAATGCAGAAAACAAAACAGTAATTCATGAAATGGAATCTGCAAAGTGTACAAACGACGATGCTCTCATACCATGTATCCAGAAGAAGAGTGTAGCTTACACTCCTTAGCCAAGCCAGCTCCACTGCCTGGGACTGGGAGGAGGAGGAGTGCCAAGCTTCCTGCTTGTCTCTCTCTTTCCCACCTCTTCTGCAGCTGCTTGATGCAGATCATCTGCAGGGTTTGTGTTTTTGAAGGGACAAAAATGCCCCAGTTCCTGTAACTGCAAAATTATTTGATACTTTATGGCTATGTTACCATATACAAATTGAGTGCTGCAATATTCTTATGTGAGTATTTCAAAAGAAATATGTGATCAGTATTAATTGTATCTCAGAGCATCCTTTATTCAAAAATCAATGTGATAAATGTAACATAAGTCTGAACAGAATGTCATATAAAAAATATAATGTAAAATCAATCAAAATCAGACTAACAGCAGATGTGAGGCTCATATTCTGGTTAATTGTGCTATATTTAATGTTTCAAGATGTTATGTAAATATTTATCTCTGTATATTTTAAAAAGCTCCACTGACTTCCATACATCCAAACTTAAACACTTATAATTTTTTAATAGGTTTTGGGCTTGATGTTGGAATAGATATAAGTTTTGAATTATTCTATCTCAAATATATGAAAGTAAAGGAATTCCTTTATCATTTAGTAGTATTATCCACTTAATTTTCATTCTCCTCACGAGTCCCTCTCAACTTGACATATTCTATGATCTTTGATGTGATGGCACAGATTCAGGAGTCTCACTGGAAGAAATGCATTGAGAAATTCGTAGCCAGTTGTCATTGACTGTGGAATTAGTGGTGCAAAGCACCAGCGAGGTCCTGTTACGTTATTTCCTCTTTGGTGGTCTGTGTAATTGGCTTTAATTCAATGAGACACAACTGAAGAAGCAATGCCTAAACTTGCCTCTGTAGGTTCTTGAGAGCTCAGTTATCGTGACTTATAAAAGGCTATTATGACCACTGGTCCAATACCATCAGTAGTGTGCAGCAGTAGCGTTGTTCAGCGGAATATCTATGACTTTACATGCAGTTATGGAGACTCTTCTCTGTTTTTTTCTTTCCTGTTTAGCAATTTAAAGTTGCCATTGTTCTTGACTAACTCCTTTAGAGTTAGTGATCATTTTCCAGAACAACATCTTCAAGCCACACTTCAGTATCTCTGGTTTTGGTAGGTCTGAAGACCTATTTCTAAAAGATATAATTAATTCTGTGAGTTTCTTGATTCAGAAACAACTAATATAATATTTTTGTGCATGCTTGTCTGCACTTTCCTACTCAGAATAAACTATCTAAAGCACCAGGATTCATTTTCTCATCATAAATATGCATAAGACAACCTTATTAACATAAATCTGATCTAACAGGTTCATCAGGTATTAAGAATGTAATTAATTTGTTTCCCTGCCTATTTTTACTGCTATCCCTATTTTCCTTAGATTTTGCTTGTTTATGCACTGCTACTTAGAACTTTTTTTATGCATTACATTTAGCTATTTGATGTATTGCACGGTGGTTTTATTAACCCTAGCTAGATTACTAATGGGTTTTGGTAAGAAAGGACTATTGACAAATTTCTCATTTATAATTTGAATTATTAGTCACATGATTGTGAAGAAGAATGAATACAAAACTTCTGCAAATATTTAGTTTGGTGCCATCAAATAGATGTGTCATCCATTCACAGAAACTTAAACAGGATCATTCTAATACTAGTTAAAAAACAAAGCATGTTGTTTACTGCTGACTTGTCAGTTAGGCAATATGATTGGACATTTAAAGAAAAGGTTTAAATTATATTAGCATATTTGAAAGCCAGAATACTCCTATTCGTCTTCAAATAAACTATGTTAAACAGACAATTATCTTATATTTTTTAGCTTTTCATCCCATGTATTACTATTTTTGTGACTATTTAAAGATGATGCCCATCTGTTACCCTAATTTAAAAATGGCAGACTAACCTTGCATCCAGTAATATATTCTAAAGCCAAAGAATGAATCTTAGTATTATATAAAATTAAACACAGCTCTACTAAAATGTACTGTTCTGGAATTCAGTCGTATACATAATAATTTCTGCACTGAGATCCATCTACTATTTATGTTCATGTGATTTGTATGATAATCATCTCATTTCACTACTTCTCATATTATAATAGCAAAGCGTATGTTTACCATTTCTTGACAAAACTGAAAGGGTGTCTTTCAGTCTTCTCTCTTTTTTGTTTGTTTGTTTTCAAAAACTGACCTCTGATAATCCATACTTACATGTGTCTTACTTTATATGTTTTATTCAAACTTCAGACTGATGATGAGATTGTGAAAATCTGGAGTGAATCAGGAAATCATGGTGATGAATGGAACCAAGTCAAGTTGCATTTGGGAAAATTGAGGAATTTTGAAGTTATCTTTGAAGGCATTCGTACCAGAGACCTGGGAGGAGGAGCAGCAATAGATGACATAGAGTTCAACAACTGCTCCACAAGTAAGTGCAAGAGGGAATTTTCTACAGGATTTATAAGGGAAATATAAGACTTTTTTCTTGTTTTTAAATACATCATGATTTTATTGTTTTCATCATAATGTCACTGTTCATAAAATCAGTTATTAATACAGTGTTTTCATTCTTAAAACTTCAATACCATTTTCTAGTCATACAGAAAGTCATGTTTTAGTGCAGCTTTCTCACACTAAATTATTGCAGATAAATCCAAGAAATGCTTGAGGTTTTGTTTCCTTATTTGGTTTTGTGTAAGAACTTTCCTTCTTTAAGTTGCTGGTAAATTACTGAGTCTCTAGTACTGCATATAATAATTTTTTATAAATTATATCAGATTATATCAAGTGAAGCCTGTGGTCTTCCTATTTCAACATAAAGGCACTTGCCCTGAAAATGAATTGAGACTACAAATGAACAACTATCGCTCTTCCTTTTCTCAGTTTAGTTCAAGTATTAGGGCCAGTGAAGCAGAGAAAACCTCTGACTTCTTCACATGGTGCTCACTTTACTGAGTTAATCTTTTTGTGGACAGAGATTAAAATAGGAACAGAGTTTACCTTTAAAAAAAAAACAACAAACCACCCTGGGTGGACTGTGAGTTCCATCACAAAAGGATGTGTCTTTATCCCTGGTAGGAAACACTGTGACACAACATAAGTGAATTTGTTGAGTGACGCAATCATTACAGATGCCACATATCAACACCGTGTTTTGGGGAAGTTATTTGGGCAAGCTTTAGTTTCCTGCCATGGTCTGGATGCCCAATATTAGCTGAAGAATAGAAAGTGCACTTTGGGAGACCAACTTTTGATTTAGTTCCATCTGAAAGAATTCAGGGTGTGCATTCAGCAATTGTTCTGTGGTGTAAATCAAAGAATGAAAACTGGATACAACTTGGGACCTGCTTCAGAACTGCACTTTAATAAAACTCTAAGGGAGATGTTAATAAAACTCTTCCAGACACATGAATGCTACTGATTCCCTTGTGCATTCTTCATTGTCCCCATTTCTATGCATGTGATTATTCTTGAAAGAACGAGGGTAGATAGATGAGGATGCCCTGGTAGAAGATGTGAGGTTAACATTCCACTATCATCTTGAATAACAAAGAGGATGTTGATCTCTCTTGCAATTTGCTGCCAAGTTGTCAAATGTATTAATTCATACGGTGACATCTAGTTATGGGATCTGGGATTCTGTCTCATTTTGGGGCTACAACAATTTAGACACTTTATTTCACAGTCAGATTCATGAAGATATTCAGCAAATAAAAATAGCAGGATTTATTTTTTTTAAAGAAGAAGAAATCTCCCTGTTAAGTTCGTAAAGATGGTAACAACATGTCTTCATATAACAGAAAGAAAAATTTTTCTGCTTAAAGTACACATATTTTATAATAACCTGAAAACAGACATTATATAAACATGACTGGAAATATTCCACAGAGTCGCCATTGCAGAGAAGGAAATTATTTTGATAGGGAGTTGGAAAGCTGTCATGTGAAGGATATTAAATCTCTTTAAAATGTTAAGATTGCTGAAATTTACTTTCGTCTTAGTTTATGACCCTACAAATCTGAATCTTAATAGTGTTTTATAACCACTCTTGCATTAAAATACCTTTGCAGCGAAGCAGTTCAGAAGGTAACTTGGATTTATTACTATATAGCAACTTCTTTTTTTTACGGCATTGCTTCAGCAAGAAGCTCTCTTGGGAAAGCAGTTGCACCATGTGATTGGACTACTTTCACATACTTACAGCTTTGACATAATAATATTCCTGTGTATTTTGCAGAAAATCATTGTATATGAAGATGGGTGAATCAGAGGCTTTTCTCAGAATTTTGAAATGCACAGTTGAAGGTCTACGTACAATACAAATACAATTGTTTTAAAGATTGAATTAAAAAACTTGGAAACCCAGGATGAGAATCCTTTATAGAGTTGTCACTTGTGTGGTAGATGTTTTTAAACTCTAATAAGATACAGTCCTTATACAACTAACCTTCACTTACGACATCTCCAGCAGTGTATGCTAGGCACACAGAGGCTTCATTAAAATATAGGTGTATGTATCCTATGGAAAGGTGTTTATGCTTGTGCTTTGTTGAGGCCCATCATATTAGTTGCTTTTTGACTGCATGTATATGCATGTGTGCAAATGCAAGCTTATAAAAAAAAAGAAAAAGCAAAATAAACCCACCTCCCATGATTTTTCTTCTACAATGATATTTAGTCTGAAACCAAAGTCAAGAGGGAACCATTGCATTTCCTTTAGTGTTTTCACATCAGCGCCATGTATGAATTTTTTGCCTTCTACTCCACAGGCTGAGATCTGCTTTCTTAATTTTCTCAAGACTTTTGGTATGCTGACCTTCCTGTTGGTATGATGACATGAAGAAGCCTGGTCTGACCTTTTTCATTCTTCTTGCTATTGCTTCTTTACCTTTGTAGAACAAACAAACAAAATACATTTTGCCAGATTCTCAAAAATAACATTTCCCATCTGACCCAAGCCTGAGGCATTCAGGATAGAGAAAGCATGTCATGTCTAAATTGTTTTCTTGTGGTGCAGGTTCACAGTTTTATTGTGTCTGTTGTAACAAAGCTAAAAGACAGCAAACACAATCTTACTGTGGCCAAAGTCAAGACTAGCATATAAACCGGAAGGGATCAAGGGTTTCTTCTCAATAAAATGATTTGATTTACAACAATAAGTCATGTACTGTGTTTGTAGATGTAGAATTGCTGAGCGTGACACATGGAAATAAACAGAAAGGAATGGAAATGAGAAAGCCTTAATTGGCATGGGAAAAAAATGGAATGTTTAGCTGCTTCCCAGCAGATGGTATGTAGTGGTGGAGATGAATGTTAGAGTAATTCTGGAGCTTTCATACATTTTGGGATAGCCTCCTCCTCACATACTGTCCTTTAGGAAGCTGCTGAATGGTATTTCTGGATCACAGCTTACCATCAACACAATAAAATAATTGCCTCTTTGCACAAATGGTGTACTCAAGGGGAGAGAGGGAAGAGAAAGGTAGTCTGCATGAGGATTTCTCTTATGAATATCAGATCTGCTTTTATGCAGTATGGTAATACTCAGTGGCTATAGCAGAGTTTAATAAATCCAGAGAATTATTTTATTGTACATCCATTTTTCTTCAACATGTACATGTTACAAGAGAGTCTGCATAGAGGTGAGATTAGCTTTGCAGACTTCTCTGGTCTTCACTTAGCTGTGATTTACATAGCGCATGTTATATGACGATTTTCAACTGACAAAAGAGAATCTTTTCAGTATTACCTTTTGAAAATTAATTAGTTAAAATCTTCTATTTGAGTAGAATACCACGGGTAGCTATTTACTTATTTATTATCATCTGAACTTCTGGGGCCCTGTCCTGCAAGGCTCATTTCCCTCAGGTCTCACTAATTTCGGTGGTCAAGAAGCAACTGTGAATTTATTGGAAATGTGAGAGGTCTTGGAAATATTGTTAGAAAGAGGGAAAAAAAAAAGGCATAAAAGAGTCTTGTCTTGGTTGTGAAAGAATAAGTTGTGTTTTGATAGCAAAAAAAATAATGTAAATTCCAAAACTGATATCTTTTTATTTTGCAGATTTAACTGAAAAATGTGACCAAAAAAAATGGAGTCGCATCACAGCTAGAGAAATATTGTGGTTCTTATTAATTTATGTTTTTCACCTTCTTCTACAATAATTCTTTACACAACTTTATTTACAGATTACCCTATGTGACCTAAATGGAGTTTAGAGCAATCGTCTCTTGTACTTTTTAATAATTGACTCTGTCCTTGCATGAGGTTATTTGCAGACTAGAAATAAATGCCTGCAAATTTGCCTTAAGAGAAAGGTAAAACAGATTAAGTATTGTAGAGAAATCCTTAATGATAATTTTATTTTTGCGACTTTTGACACTTAGCCTCATGGTTACATCTCCTAAGAATCCTGTCAGAAATAAGCTGTGGTCTGGTAACATTAAAGAGCACTTCAAGCATTACTGATTTGCTTTTCCAGCTGATGAGTCACTGTCTTATAATAGTGACTCAAGAGCGCAACTCATCAGAGATGCTGTTGCAGTAGTCTGAATGTGGTACATCTGTAAATTTAAAGAATCTTGTACTCTAGGCACAAAATACAGAGTATAAGGGTGAACATATACCTTACTTAGCCATGAGGTACAAACAGATTTTGGAAGCCCAAGACACCACCTGAAAAAACCCAAACAGTGAAAGATAAATTAAAATAGATGAATCATAACTCTAAATTCAAATTGAACAGAAATTTCTAGCATAATTGACTATTTAGTCAATTTATATGTATTTTCGTGGTCTGGCAATTTAATGTGATAAAAGTCCAGGAAGAAGAAAGAGCCATTGCTGCTCCAGTAGTCTTTGTGGGTTGCCTGTTTGGGATCAGACTTCACTAGCTTTTCTTCTCATGTTTTCCTGGTTTAAGCCAGAACAGAACCATTAAGGTAAATAAGATAACAACCCCATGGGAGTCTATAGACTTGGAGATGTGTGTTTGGAAGACTGTATGTGGGGAAAGGACCTGGGGGTGTTGGCTGACGGGTGGCTGAATATGAGCCAGCAGTGTGCCCATGTGGCCAAGGCCAGTGGCATCCTGGCTTATATTAGAAATAGTGTGGCCGGCAGGACCAGTGATTGTTCCCCTGTACTTGGCACTGGTAAGGCTGCAGCTAGAGTATTATGTTCAGTTCTGGGCCACTAACTACAAGAAGGACATTGAGCTGCTGTAGAGTGTCCAGAAGAGGACAACAAGGCTTGTGAAGGGTCTGGAACACAAGTCCTATGAAGAGCAGCTGAAGAAACTGGGATTGTTTAGCCTAGAGGAAAGGAAGCTGAGGGGAGACCTTATGGCTCTCTACAACTTGCTGAAACTGGGTTGGAGAAATGAGGGGGTCAATATTTTCTCTCTGGTTAGCAAGCAGTAAAACTAGAGG